GGGAAAGAAATAACAATTGAAACATTTCTAAATGAAACACACTCGGAACAGATTCATAAGGAAAACATTATAGCCAGGGGACACACGTGCCTCTTAAATGGAACATTTTTGAACCTTGCAGTCTCCCCACTGCCTGACAAGGGTGCTAAAACAGGCTGCAGCAACCTGTGGCTCCACTCTGCTCTCCCACTCCTCTCACGGGGAAGGGAAGTGAAGAGGAGCCAGTGGCAGAGCGGAGTGATAAGAGGGGTCATGGGGGGAGAGCTGAGAATCTGACACTCCAGCTCCAATCTCCTCTACCTTTCCTATCTCTCTGTCAGCTGACATAACAGGTAGAGTGACTGGAGCTTAAGGGCCCAGCTCCGACATAGTGAGGGGATCCTAGGAGTTGGGAAGTCTGGCACGTGGGGCGGTAAGCCTGACTCTGGGTCTAGTGGGCTGGTAGGTTGCAGCACGGGTCCTAGTGGAGACCCAGAAGTGCCCTAAGATCTGGAATGGGACCACAGAGTGGGGCACTGGCAGTATGTCTACCCACTGTCCCCCATCCAGACTAGAAAAAAATGAAATGCTCCAAAATAGTACTTCCCATAAGGAGGTGCTATCTTCAAATGTTTCAGGCTCTTTTACAATGTTTCAAAGCCTTTGTGTATGTGGCCAGCTAGCCCTTTGAAGTGTTTCAAATGTTTTAATAATTATACGTGTCCACACTAATATTGCTACCTCCTTCCCAAGATGACTCTGAAAGAGCTGTGGCTGTGCAAAATAGGGCATGCCTGGATTATGTCTGGCTGATCCAGACCTACTGAAACTGCCCTTTATAGCCAATGGCACAAATTTGAGCAGCCTTTACGCTGTTCTTATTTGTGCTGGGGACTGAACAGGTCTAGGGTGGTCACAAGTTTAGTAAAATGCAAAAATGAGTTCAAGTCATTCATACCACAATCTCTTTATCCCTCTGCCAACAAAGAGAGATACTGCTAAGAGGCATACTAGTAACGTCTTCTGGAACTCTCTCTCTTTTTAAAATTTGTTTACAATTAAAGCACTTGGCTATCATCAATACTTTAAGGGAATCCTTGATGTACAGCCTGTATCCTTATATTAGCCTGAAATGTGGTGGTGTTGTTTTTCAATTAACAGACTAATTTACAGTACAATATTTAGTTACATCAAGATGCAAAAAACTGACCTTTTTCCTTGCTAAGGTTTAGACTTAACGTGGGTAAATTCATCCTGTTCATTCCAAGCTGAAAAACAAAGTATTAGTTGATACAGAAGATGTACAAACATATGTAATATGCACCTCTTATTAAAGTAAAAGTTTATCTTTATTAGTTTCCTTATTTTTTATAAACTCATTTATGTAGATACATTTCTTAGTGTCCTGCTTTCACTAGAAATAACTTTAGAACTGTCAGCTTTGCTTGGTTACACAGAGATTATTTTTTTAAACCATCATGAGTAATGAAAAAACAAATTGATGTTTAAGTGAAGGCAAGCGTACAACTTGTTCTCCTCAAGGCTGTCTTATTTCACCTATATATCAATTAAATCATCAATGGTGGCTTTGTCTCAGCTCAGAGTTAAGGGTAGGAATACTGTTGCACTGAGTTAGAGACCTCATCCTGCTTGCCCTGCTTCTCAGGGAGAAGAAGAGATCAGGATTGTATCAAGTCTCTTCCTATTCCCAGCTGCCAGGCAACCGGGGACAACAAAAAAAGTTCCACCCAACTACCTCCTCATACCTCCTTCTCTTGGCCACCATGTAGGAGAGACATGCAGCAGCATTAAAGACTACTTCTCCTCCCAGGCTGCTACCTGTGATACGGCAGCCAGTGTAAGAGTATTCTTTGCATCCCTACGTGTCAGTTCAAAATGAGGCCTATTATGGACACACACTCTATCCAATCTGTAAACACTCAAAAAGGAAGACATGTCACTTATTTAAGCATACACTCTTTTTAAACAACCTATGAAAACTCATAAGCAGGTTTATCAGTCAGAGTACTGTTATTTACATATTGGGATATGATCATGGGGTAAATAATTTTTCTAAATTTGCCCTATTTCTTTAAGATGTAATTTACCCATGTGCAGAAAACAAATTCCGGTCCCAGCCAATATTCAATTCTCACTAAATGCTTTATTTTCAGGATTTGAGGGGGTGTCTGCTAGTCTTCTGCATAGGCACGAATTTTACACACAAAAACTAAACCTGAGAAGTCACTTGACCATTTTTTTCATTGTTAAATACTAAAAAAAAAGTCTCAAAGACAAAACGGAACTTTGCAAATGTGACGTTAGACATTTACTGAGATAGCAGAAAAGAAGAGATTTCTATACGAAAAGTTCAAGAGGAGACTTGCTGCGTCTCTTCACACAAATTTCAATGCCCAGTTTTTCCTATGAAAGCTCTTACTGCTTCTGTGATTCTCCTGAACCTAACAGGTATATGGAGGTCACAGAAAGAGGATCATACCTTAGCAAATAAAGCCTTTATTCATCTGTATTTCTAAAAAACACATGACAACTTGTACTGTCAATATACTTACTATATGAGGTCACAAAATATATTTTAAATAAAAATCCTTTACTTAATGACGAAGTTACACAAAGTTACACATTTTCCTCACAAAGATGCAAGTTCTAGCCATCTAACATGATCATAGGGAATGAACCTTTTAAAAAAAAAATCTAAATAAATTCAAAACATATTTTTCAGTTGAACTACTTAGAAAACAATTACCAGACTGATTCACCTGCAGGTCAAACCTCACTCACCCTTTAAACTGCAAAGCTTGAAATCCTGCACTGGAAAATGAAGTCTTTGTTTATACATTAAGAAGGTAATTCTTATCTGATACAAGCACATTGTTCACTGCTTCACAAGTAGGCAGTGAGTCTTTGCTTTGAGATTATTTTTCCACCTGAACTGTCCTAAAAGTATGTTTTTTATTAAAATACTTAGGCTGAATACTCAGGGGCATGATTGCAGAAAATACTGGGAGGGTGGAAATTATGGATGTGGAACCAAAAATATTGTTTTCCTTCTCATTTCAGATTATGAACCACCAAACCACAAAAGTTATAAATGATTTAATGGGTAAATAAAGAGTTGTTGTGTAATAGCCCTTCCAGCTCTACAGAACTGGCTAGCCAGTCAGTGTCATACAGCTCTGATTTTAATAGAAGCAGTCACAATCTAAAACAAAGGCTTTGAACTTGGTCATGAGATGATATAGTGCCCTAAAAAGATGGAATATCCAAGTGTCATATGTAAACAAATAAAAGAAATTTCAGTAATGAAGGGTCAAATGGAGAATATTTTATTACATCCTAAGGAACTACTCAACAGTTATTTATGAATCCCCTGAAATGGTAAATGTTGCAGAAGACCAAGATATTTAGTTTTACCTCTTTGTAACCAGAGTCCTTTTAGATGCAACTCCCCTGCCCAAGCATGCATAACTTTTGCTGAATAAATGAAAGATTTTTTTTTAGTATGTGTGCAACAGGGTATATATATTGTAAGGCAGGCAAAGAAGAATTTAATTCTCTTCCTAGAGAATCAGTTAGAGGGGACTGATTCAGCCCAGAGAATTTGCTTATTGTCGTAACTGAAAAAGATTACACCTGGGCTCACAATGGCAAAGGAGAGGAGGGCAAGGAGTATAAGGTCATGCAGAAGAGCCTGAAGTGGACTGCCATTATTTCCAGGGAAATAATGGGGTGTAGCAGGGACCCAGATGGGCCCTGCACTCACTGGGGTGATGGCTGCCAGAATGCCCCACAGTCTGTGGATCTCTGGACTGTCCTGAAGGAGTGGCGAGCCTGCGGACCAACAGCGTGACCTCCTATGCACCTGCTTCCCAGGCAAGGCAGGCAGACAGAGGGCAACACATTTCCCATGGGCCCATTACCCAGGCAGGGCTGAGAGCCAGAAGATGGGCTCCCTCTGGGCCTGGAGCCCAACCTGGAAAGAGAACAAGTGGCTGGCATATCCAGCACTGCCTAGAGCCTGGAGGCCACAGCTGCAGGAGATGATGAGCCCCACAATGGCTCTCAGTACCTGGCAGTGGCTGCACAACACATGGGGGGCATGGAGGGGTCTGGGTTGGCCCAGGCTAACCCAGAACTTCCTTTATAGGGCAAGGCACTGGCGTAGGCAAAGCAGAGATGAGGCGGCGTTGGTGTAGGCACTGGCCTACACTGCTTCCTTCCACTGGAGCCGAGGACATCATATCTGAGGCCAGTTTGACCCTAGCGCTCTCCGCAGAATCCTGAGCACCCTATAGATGCTGGAGGTCAGGTACCTGTAGGGGCCTCATGGGGGGGTCGTAATACCCATGGCCCCAAACTACTTGAAGGGTTGGGCCTGACACAGGTCTGCCCTTCGAACTAGGCTTGCAACAGGGGGCCAGCCCTGAAGAGTCTTGAGCACCAGAAGAAAAGGTGGCCACATGCTGCAAGGCCACAGCAAGGCCTGAAAGCAGATGCAGATGCATCTATTTATGTTATATTGGTTTACTTATTTTTACACAGCCTGGATACCACTGGCCGTAGACCCTCACCCAGGATCCCCGATCTCGGCCAACTCATGTTGGTTGTAGGCTGCTCAGTTTTCTTCTCCCAACAGATCTTTTCACCCAGCACATGTAGTCAGGTGCCTAGGTAAGCCAGGCACCAGCCCAATCATCAATGAAACTCTTAGGTGGAAAGGAGTGGGGTGCAGGGGAGATGGAGCCCACAGAAGACTCCTGGACAGAGAGACCTGTGCTCACCTCAGCCAACTCAGGTACCACTTCCTGATACCCTTTATATTTACATCAAGTTGTGGCAGGTGGGATATAGAAATAAGGAAACAAAACATCCATTGAGAGTGCAGCACCCAGGCCCCACCTCGTTGTGGCCCAGGTCCCACTACACAGCGGCAGAAGTAAAGCAGACCAAACTTCTCCTGAAAGAGGTAGGGAACTTCTCCTGAAAGAGGTAGCCATGACTGCTTTTCATGGCTAAAGAACTTTATGTTTTGCCAAAGAAAGTAAAAACTGAATCAAGCCTATTTGGGTCTTTAGAGCACTATTAAGATATGAACTCAATAACTGAATTCTATAGGACACAAACAAGGTAACACATAGTTCCCATTGTTTGTGTTGCCATCATCACTTGCAAGAAAAACAAAGACTCCTAGGCTCAGGCTACTAACAAGTAAAGTAACTCGTACTGTTATTCTTGCAATGTATTACATTTGTTACAGATATGCCAGCATTGTGCATGAAACGTTGTCTTCACTGAAGGACTAAGCTTCCATGAAGCCAGAATTTCACCATGTTTTAAGTTTAAGATACAGTTATTCATTATGGAAGGTACATTAAGAAACAAGGATTGCACAAGGATTGCAAAAGACTGGGAAGAATGCAGGAAAGTTATTGCTACTTTAAAGGTGCCCCAATGGTTGGTACAGCCTCGGGACTGACTTGACTTGACCTCAAGAAACCACCTTATCCAAACCCCTTAGGCATGATCAAGTATACCTTTTGTGTCTGAAAGATATTTGTTGAACCTATTCCTAAAAACCTCTTGTGAAGATTACACAATAGCCCTAGAAAACCTATAATTGTATTTTTCATCCTTCTAACATCCAAAATCACTCTTGCTATAAATAAGTAAGAATGAATAAATACTTACTTATTTTTGATCCTTCTACACTGGCCCCTTTTTTAATAGCCTGTTGCTTGTTAGAAGGCTTATCATGTGTGCTATCAGACTTCTCTTTCCTAGATAAAGGAAATCAGGTTGCTTCAACTAGCCCATGTTTCTAAACCTTTTACTATTCTTCTTACTTTCCTCTGTTCTCTTTCCAACTTAACTACATCTTTCTTAATACAGTGAAACCTGTCTGGGATGGAATCACATGGGACCAGGAAAAAGTTCTTGCTTAAACAGTTTTTCGTCTTATAGGGGAAGCTTTCCAGCCCCTCTGCTCTCTGTGCTCTGCCTAATCTATATTCTCTTCCATGTCTCTGTCTCTCTGCTCTATGATTCTCCATCTGCCTCAGCATCCCTGATCAGCCCCTGCACTAGCTGCTCATACCTTGCACAGATGCATGCATATATGCAAATAAAATGGGTTTTTGTGATATACAGGATGAATCTACAATTGGGCCCCAAGTTTCCTTTCCATTTCTACATAAGAGTTTCCAGTTTACACAGACTAAATATACATAGTCCCCATAAGGCAGGGGTT